GCACCTATGGCCCCAGTGGGCGTGCTCGAATGGCGTCCCCGCGCCCATTTCGGCACACCCATCACACGTTTCGTGCCCCACAGGGTGACAGGGAGCTGCACCTATGGCCCCAGTGGACGTGGTCGCAGGGCGTCCCCCTTGCATGGCGTCCACCATGGGCCCCGCGCGCATCGCAAGAACTCTACGCTTATCTACAGGCCCGTACCGTCCTGGCCCGCAGCGCAGGGGCGGGTTTGCGAGCCGTCGCGGATGTCTCTTGCCGGAGGAATCCAAACAACATTGGATCAGATCTGCGTCTGGTTTAAACTGCGCGGCAAGCGCCCGCGTAGCGCGCGGCGCTGTCCCATCACACGGCGCGGGGCGCTGTTACATCGCAGAGCGCGGGGCTCTGGGGCGTCGAGTAGCGCGAAGCGCCGTTCGTCGCCCATGCCACATGTCTTCATCAACGGCTACCGGCCTGCTTGACGCTCGATCATCTGCAACACTCCGCGCGCCGCGCTGCTCTGCTACACCGCGCGTGATGTAGCGCGCGGCGCTTTTACTCGCACTAGCTTCAAATATATGTCCTCCTCTCCCTTGCTCCGTTCTTCTCCGCGTCGCGTACATCGTCGTCCTCCGCTTTGCGATTCGATTTGTGAGAGTGCATGTGTGACTGGAGGACTTTGTCTGCGGTCTGGCCGCATTCGTCGACGTTGTCAAGGACATGGCAGATCTTTCAACGCGTTCCTGTGGAGGATTCGGTCCTGTTTATAGTCGCCTTTCTTTGGAAAGGGTTGGGTTCTTCGCCAAGCTAATTTCGTCCGTAGTGTCGTTTGATGGTCCGGGGGCCCGAAACAGACCTCCACAAGCAGACCACTCATTCAGAAGCAGCTGCCATGTTTTTGTTCGCGACGCCGAAGGTCTGTGCAGTCATCATGTCGTGGCTCATCTGAAGAATGGGTGGGCGAGGTCGGGCGGGAGCCAGTCGCGATGCGGCGTCGCAGGCCTTTCCGCTTGCCATGCAGCTTCCATGGCCCCCTGCGGGCGGGAGGGGGCGACTGGGAAGGAGGAGGAGAAGGAGGAGGATGAGCACGTGGTGGCCTCCTCCTCCTTCCCTCCCTCCCTCCCTCCCTCCTCCCCTCCCTTCCCGTCGTCGCGTCGTCGTCGTCGTCGTCGTCCTCCTTCTCCTCCTCGTCCTCTCATGCTCCTGCCTCTGCTTCTCCGTTCTGCCCTGCCGCCTCCGCCTCCCGCCTCCTCTTCCGACTACTTCGAGGGCCACGCGCGCGCACCCTCACCCCCGTGCACGAGTGCCTTCGTCTTCTCCCCTCCGTCCACTCGCCCTCGTCGCCGCTGCCGCTCGCCCAGGTGCACACGGTGCAGGCCGCAGCATGCCGACCAGTGGCGTCCGAAATGAGCCCGTCCGCGGCCCCACAGCCCCCGACCAGCTCACCAGTTCCACCGCGCCTTGCCCGGGAAAGGGTGCGTGCCTCGGGCCTCTCCTGCTCTGACCCTGACCGCCGCCGCCGCCGCCGTCGTCGTCGCCGCCGTCGTCGTCGTCGTCGCCGCCGCCGTCGCCGCCGTCGTCGTCGCCGTCGTCGTCGTCGCCGTCGCCGTCGTCGCCGTCGCCGTCGTCGTCGTCGCCTCGTCCTCGGCGAGGGTGCGTGCCTCGTGCCTCTCCTGCCCTGTCCCGGGCCGGGCTCCTCGCGAGGTATAGCCCGCCAGACCCCCCCCCCTCCCTCGGGCACCGAGGCCCTCGCTCCCTGGAAGGAGCCCCGGGGCACACAGACGCATAGGCACACCTCCCAGGATCCCTACTATGTTCGGACATCTTCTGGCTTTTCGTCGCCCCCCCCCCGCCCCACTCTTCCCAGTTTTTGTCCATATTTTCCCGGGGATCGAGGGCTCATCGTGCGTCTGTACTGTTTCCCCTCGGGCGCCCGCGGGCAACCCTGGAGACCAGCCGGTCGTGCACAGCCTGGTGCAGCCTGCCGGGCATGAAGGGAGCGGGTCCTGATCGGGCGTTGGCAGAACTGGGCGCCCGCGGGCAACCCTGTTCAAAGATGTGTCCCGAGGGTCGCCGCCCCCGCCCCGTTCCACTGACCGGAGCTGCCGTCCACCCGAAAAGACACCGGCTACGGCAGGCCTGGTCTGGTGATTCTGGCCAATCTAGGGGCGCTGGGGCCCTGCCTGGGGGAGGAAGGGGAGGAGGAGGAGGAGGAGGAGGAGGAGGAGGAGGAGGAGGAGGAGGAGGAGGAGGAGGAGGAGGACGAGGAGGATGACGTCGGAGGATGACGTCGGAGGAGGAGGAGGAGGAGGAGGAGGAGGAGGATGACGTCGGCGGAGGCACTAACCGGGTCCCCCTTACCTGGGGTCCTGGCTATACCCGACCTGATCCCGTCACCGGCATCTGCTTCGCTGCACCGGTCCAGGGTTGTTGTCTCGGGCCTGGCGGGTCGCGCGTAGCCGGGTGAATTCGGCAGCCAGCATCCGGACTGGAGACATCGTGTGGTGGACGCTGGTTGGTGCTTCGCGAGTTCCCTTCCCTTCCCCTTCCCCCCCTCTTTCCAAAAGATTGCGCAGGTAGCGGATCTTCAAGGAAACTGCAAGACTCGTCAAGAATAAGTGGACGGACCTTGTGACGCCTGCGCGGTCGGCGCTACTTCCATGTTGGCATGAGGCGTTCGGCCCACACGCAGGGGTGTCCGAAAATTCGGCAGTGCTGTCGCAGCATTGAAGAAGGCGTTATCTGACAAGTGTTCGAGCCATCGGGCGCTTCGATTTTGAACGGCGTTTCAATTTGTTTTTGACGAGGCTTGTAGGGGGTCCTCCCAGATGGGGTCGGCGTTGAGGAGGTTGGAGGATCGCGCCGCATCGCCGATGCATCGGTGATGCACGGTAGACGCGCCGGCGATGTATCGTCGATGTCGGTGTGGAGGAAATCGGGCCCTACATCGAGCCGCATCGCCGATGGATCGGCATCGGCGATGTCCGACCCCACCTACTCCGACCCCATCTGGGAGGCCTAAAGGAACGGGCCCTCCTTCCTGTTCCCAATTTTTTGCCCCCGGGGGCTCAGCACGGGCCTCGGGACTGTCAGAAAACGACTCGGGACGCAGAACTGGACCTGGTGAAAGGCCCTGGGGTCCAGGACCCGTGCCCCGCATGCCAATCTGCACTGGGGAAGCGGCGCGGAGAACATCGAGGCCTGCGCGCACCCGTCATCGCTCCAACTGCCCGAACCTTTCGCTTGGCTCTGGGTGGGGCTCCCTGTCCCAGCTGGCCCCTCTGCTCTCCGAGGCTGCTCGTCCGTCCCCCCGGGGGGACTACCCCTCACTGGGAGACACTTTCGGCTCCAGAGCGTCGTCGTCGCCGTCGCCGTCGCCGTCGCCGTCGCCGTCGCCGTCGCCGTCGCCGTCGCCGTCGCCGTCGCCGTCGCCGTCGCCGTCGCCGTCGCCGTCGCCGTTGCCGTCGCCGTCGTCGTCGTCGTCGTCGTCGCCGTCGCCGTCGTCGTCGTCGTCGTCGTCGTCGTCGTCGTCGTCGTCGTCGTCGTCGTCGTCGCCGTCGCCGTCGCCGTCGCCGTCGCCGTCGTCGTCGCCGTCGCCGTCGCCGTCGCCGTCGTCGTCCTCCCCCTTCAGGGTCGGGGGCACTGGCCAGAGAGCATTCGCCTGCCCTGAGTCTTTCGCTGCATAGTTCTGGGTGGGGCTCCTGGCCACCCAGCCGGCCCCTCTGCGCTCCAAGGCTGCTCATCCTAGGCAGCGCACACAAGGGGGTACAGGGTGGGGGGAAGGCTTCTTACAAGGAGGCTGCTTCTTAGAAGGTGCCGGCCTTACATCTATGGACAAGGCCCGCGCATTCTAAGAAGCCTGCCTCCCTCCCCCTACCCCCCTCTGCGCGTGGCTGACCCCCCCCCGCAAATTTCAAGAGCCCACCAGGAAGACTGAGAGGAATTCTCCGGGATCGCTCTGAGAGGCCAGCCGCGCACGAAAACCCAGGTAATTGGTTGAAGATGGTAGAATTGGCTCCGTAGAGGACCAAACGCTGCTTCGGATAAGCTCTCGGATAGCCTTGGGCAAGATACGGTCCAAGACTAGCCCCAAGACGGCTTCAGGGCCTCGCCCTTACAGGGGGCGTTGCTTTCCGTCAGCCAGAACGTCCCAACACAAATTTCACTACTGGTCCGCGTGGGGTCTGGGTAGGGCCCTGGCGGGGACCCGTGAGCCATCCTTCTGAACTGGGAATGCGGCCGGCGCTGACGAGGGAGAGCACCTCTCGGGGCTGGGAGCGTGCACGCACACAGCACAGCACAGTCCTGCGTGGAGGCACCTGCGCAGGTGCAGAGGGTGGGCGCGAGGGTGCCAGGAAGAGGATGATGATGATGATGATGAGGAGGAGGAGGAGGAGGAGGAGGAGGAGGAGGAGGAGAAAGAGGAGATGGTGGAGGAGGAGGAGGAGGAGGACCAGTGTAAACCCAAGAGTCATCAACGATGTTGGACGAAAACCCTGCCTCCAAGCTCCTGACCTCCAAGCTGCATGGAAAGAGAACCAAGAGCGATGCGGGCCGCCCATTGGATGAGGTGGGCGTCGCGCGTGGCCGCCGTAGCACTGGAGCCGGAGTCGTGAAACGCACCCCACGCGGAAACGCATGGGGCAACAACTGGACGAGCCCCAAGATGGAGGCGATTCCGAGCTGGAGTGGGCCCATCTTGGATGTGCTCTGTGGAAGACAAGCATCGGTTACTACCAGAACCTGCAACGGAGTATGTGAGAGCTCCAGCATTGCATCCAAATAGAGAGGATTGCGGCTGCGGCCGGCACGGTCCTGGTAAAGTCCTGGTAGGGTGCTGGTGTGAGGTGTAAGGTTAGGTCGGGCATGTCCTTCTACAGGCGGATTTTGGAAGACAAATTTAACATAGTCAACACATATTCAAACATAATAGAAAAATCGTACCCAGACTATTTGTTCGACTATGTTTTGAATATTCCCACTATAGAGGGACAGACTTAAGTGTAAGAGTCCCAGT